TCTTAATTACTTTTCTATTGCTTTGATTTGAAACCATGGCCAAGGCAACTTATAAGAATGTATTTCAGAAGGTTAGAGTCCATGATGGTGGAATAACCCATGGCAGCAGAAATACCTGAGAGCTTCCATCTTAATCTGCAAGTAGGAGGCAGAGAGAGGTATACTGGAAATGGCATTAATTTTTGGAAACATCAAAGCTAGCTCCATTGACACATCCCCTCAATAACAGCATAACTCCTAGTCCTTCCCAATGGTTTCACTGATTAAGGGCTAAATATCCAAACTTGTACCTATTAATGCCATTTTCATTCAAACCATCACATTCCCTCCCCTCTGTAGTCCCCATAGACTAATGGGCATATCATAATGTAACTTGCATTTAATCTAACTTCAAAAGTCCCATAGTCTTTCACAATCTCAGCACAGTTTAAAATTCCAAAGTCTAAATTCTCTTCTAATATTCAAGGAAATTTCTTAATTGTGACCTCCTGTAAAACCAGAAGGCAAATTACATACTTCCACTATACAATGACATAGAGCATACATATTACCATGACAAAATAATGTGGCTTGCCAAATATCTTGGGGACTTCCACCATCCTGTAACGTGTACTGTTTTTCTGCCTGCCGCCGCTGGTCTTGTCCTGCTGCCGCACCAGCCCCAAATAATGCACAGAGACTCTGTATTTGATACAATGCTGTTGGCCCTGTTACTTGTTTCTTATCGGCTAGCTCTGCCTTAATTATTAACCCATTTCTGATGATCTATGTATTTCTCTTACCGGGGAGCCGGCGGCATACTGCTTTCTCCAGACTCTCCATCTTGACTCCTCCTTACTACTTCCTATTTCCTCCTTGTCTCCTAGTCCCTCCTATCTTCCTCTCCTATTGGCCAACAGTGCTTTATTATTAACCAGTATGAGAAACATATACAGAATGACATCTCCCATCATCTCCTCTTTTCTGTCTAAATAAAAAGAAGGGTTTTAACCTTAGCATAGCAAAATATATAACACAACAGTTATCAAATAAGAATCACAGTTAACAATATTTAGTCCATTAACATTTATCAAGATTAAAGGAAACTATTCTATCATCTATCCTATATTTGTGAATCTAAAGTCCTATATGTAACTTATCTGTAAGCCTAACTAAGGAAAACTATAACCATAACTATCTGTCTTCAACTCCTTCAAAGACCACAGAAGGATAATATATAAACTCTAGAAATGACAGAGACAACTCACTGCCTGGTCACCCGAAGTTCTTTTGTAATCTTCCATCTTCAGCCCATAGGCCATAGTGTGTCTGGCAGACTCTTCAGCAATGCAGGGGGCTTTAAACTGTCTTCTTGTATTGGCAGTTTATCAGTCACTTTTCTCTGTGTCCTGCATACTGTCTCGCAGACTCTTCCATGAAGCAGGAACTCTGTAGCAATGTCCATCTTGAATCAGCAGTCACTTTTCTGTGGGTCCTGCATGTCCAGTTTATACAGCATAAACTCAAACAGTCCAGACAAGAGCTGTATCTTGTCCAAATGGCTAGTCTTGCCATACTGGAAGCAAACTCCATAACGCGTTTCTTCCATGTCCATCTTCCTTTCTGACCCAGGTGGCGTTGCCAGGAGCAATTATGTCTCACTGTCAAGAAAAACCCTAAAACATTTTAAATGCCATATTCTGTAGGTCTTTGAAAGGTTTGAAGAATGCCTATCTATCTCAAATACATCTCTGTGTATTTTGAAAAACCTAACTAATCTCTAAGCTTTGACTATCATAGGTAATTATCTATAATCGGTACTATATTGTACATTACATTTCTAACTGAGCTCAATAAACACGATACCTAAACAAGAGGAGAAATATACATATCACAAAATTGACATTAAATTGTATCAATAAATGAAAATCCATTCCAAAACAAAGTAATCATATCAATACCATACCATCCAACCCAGGCTTCACTTCCACAGCTTCATGCAATAGTCTCTCAGGACTTCCATGCTAAGACTTCCTTGCCACATGCCTACCTAGCCTCAGCAGCTGTCCTTAACCATAGAAGAAGATTCTATAACCCTGTTGCTCATTTACCTTCATGACTATAAAGCAGAACCATATGGACAGCATGGCCAGGTTCAGCTGCCTGTTTGGGATGGAGCTTGTCCTCATTAAATCACATTTGCAGAGGAGTTCCTTTCTTGTTGCATAGGAGCACAAAATTCCACAGGCCTTTCCTTTTTACAAGGTGGAAGCCTAGCTGAGTGGGATCTTGTCCTCAGGGCATCTCTCCCTCTATTCCATTTTGGAACAGGTCTTTCTTTAATCTTCTTATCTCTTACATACAAGCATAGGCTTCAGCATTCCGTTTCCTGGAATTGTTTTTCTTTTCAAATTATACACATTTTTTGCCCCATTTTTCTTTTTCATGGTAACTATGATTACTAATAAGCACAAATTGGATAACCATTGGGCTGTCTTGAAGTTTTTGCCTCCTAGGAAATTAATTTAATATCTTTTAATTTAACCCCAGACAGAAAGAAACCACATTACTTGCTAAGGTAACACAAGAATTGTCTCTAGCCCATTTGCTAATATCGTTTTAACTTCCATAGTCTCCATAGTCTACTTTGTTCTCAGCCAGTACTGTCTTCCAAGCTCCAACTAGATGGCCTATTAAGCACTGCTTATAACATTCTTCTGCTTTCTTAGTTCAAAGTCTCGACGTCTTATACCTCTAAGAGACAGTGTGGTCAGGCAGCAATAGCCCACTCACTCCCTTGGACCAGTTTCTGTCTTCATTACTTTCATATTAATCTGATAATATACCAAAGAAAGTTATAACAGAATGTGTTTAATTTGGCCTTACAGTTTCAGAGGATTAAAGTCCATGTTGATGGAGCAAGGGCATGGTAGCAAGAAGAGCTGAAAACTTATATTTTGATCTACAAATAGCAGGCAGAGAGAAAGGTACACTGGGAACTGAGCAAGTCCTTTGAAACCTCAAACGCTGCCACTAGTGATACACATCTTCCAACAAGGTCATAGCTCCTAATTACTGGCAAACAGTTCCATGAACTGCGACCAAGTATTCAAACATATATTGGAGTCATTCTTATTCAAAGCACCATACACAGAATGCCCAGTTTTGTGCAGTAGCTCTCCTAAAATTTTCCCTCAACTAAGTAAAATGTGCCCAAATGAGAAAGCTTTTCAAAGATAATTTATTTTTGCTTCATTTAACACACTCTGACATATTATATATTCCATTACATCCCCTTAGGTTTATATTCATTTAATTTTATGTATGAGTGTTTTGTTTGCAAGCATGTTTATATGCATGCACACCATGTGAATACCTGTCAGAGGTCAGAGAAAGGTATTGCATCCCCTGGGACTGGAATGCACATGTCTATGAGCTACCATGTGGGTTCTAGGAACCAAATCCAGGTCTTCTGCAAGAGCCAAAAGTGCTCTTAGCCATTTAACCATCTCTTTCATGCCCCTACCCCATTCTTATTTTATTGATGGTGCTTGTAATCCACTGAGTTGTTTGTTTACTTTCTTATTTCCACTGAGAGAGCTCAAGTGTTCTAGCCTGGGCCAATATCATTACAGTAGGTGTTTCTCAGCTCCAGTTTAGGGAGATGTAGAGCAGTATAGAGAATGTTATGAGAGCTTGGAGAATGGAGAGGGTTTGACCAGTTAGTATAGTGAGCTAGAATACCTCAACTTTTTCATAGCTATGTCTTCCAACAGAAATGCTAGCTTGTAGTACAGGAAATAATACCTCAGGAATATGTGGGCAATATAGTCATGTATTATGTGTGTGCATGTGGTGCACACAAATGTGTGTTACAGATGCATACCCCCTGCAGGCCCAAAAATTGACCATGGGAAGATGTTTCATTACATTCCTATGAGACAGGGTCTCTTACTGAAACCTGAGCTAAGCTGGTGGCCAACAACCTTCAGTGAACCTGCTTGCTCCCCAATCTGTGTAGCTCTAGGGTTACAGATGTAGGCATGCCCTCACCTGCCTTTTTACATGGTCGCTGGAATCCAAATAGGTCCTCACGTTTTTGTAATAACTGCTTGTACCTATTGAGATATACATATAGAGCTCCAGCTCTAGGAATCAAACTCAGGTTATCAGATGTGGCAGCAGGTACCTTTATCTGTTGAGCCATGTCTCCAGCCCCTCTACTCCCCCTTCTCCTTCAGCTTCTTCTTTCTTGAATGACATATTGAGTCTAATTAATGTTGGCTATATTTGTAAGGCTGCAGGGCCAATCATCCATTGAGACATGGGAAATCTACCAGGAGCCACACATCTGGAGAGAACTGACTGTCTCCTGTCCATTCACATGCAACTGTCAATAACTCTTCAGCTCTCCCACCCATGCTGGAATGTTAATTGAGTTGGTCTTGTTCAGGTTTTGATAGGCCATTAGAAAAGCCATGGGTTCATGAGAACAACATTCCTGTTATGCTCAGAAGACATTATTTTATAGATCTGTTTCTTATAGACTTTCCACTTCCTTTTCTAGGAGGCTCCATGAGCATTAGAGAGAGGGAGTATTATTCAGAACTGAACATTCCATAGTCATTTATTCCCTGCAATTAGAGCTAATCTGACAGTTATAAGACTTTAGGTTTTATTTATAAGCTATATTTCATGTAATTTCACCTGAGAAATAATACAATTTACACTATGATTTTTAATAATGTTTATATAGACATGAATACTAAATGAGAAATATTTTATCCTAGAACAACATAAATATAGTCCAGGATTCAATTTATCCCACTAGATGAATGCAAAAAGATATTATTAATGCAAATGTTAATCAATTTGTGATTTTCATCACCTTATAGGTATGTAAGAATGTATGTAAGACTGTCCCTGAGGGTATTATTAGGTCACCCTTTTATAATTATCTATTATTTATCAAGAGCTTACTGTGTCAAATAAATTCAAACCAACCTTGCCTTCTTATGTAGCATCAACATTACAAGAACCACATAGTTCTACTGGATTTATGGCTTCAGTGGTCAGAACAACACCGGGGACAAGTACAAGAATGTTGGACACACGCACAGCAGTGACCACTTCTACTTTATATTGGAGAAGTAGCATTCCTTCCAAGTTGGCCACTCTAAAAGTCACAAGAAAGTCACAGAAAGCAGTGAACAGCATGGAGTCCACCAGTTCTGCTCCCCATATATCATTTGAATCAGTTGTACCTAAAACCACATTGTCCACCTTGATCCCTGAAGCCACAGGGAAGAGCACTGTTTCTGTCTCAGTGAATACATCTAATTCTACAAGGATTGACACACATAATGGGGCTGAATTAAATAGCACTGCATTGTCAGACACATCCACAACTGTTACTATGATGGAAACGAACATGCCTGAAGTGATTTCAACCACAGAACATACTCCAAGCTCCACTAAAATATTCTTTATTGATTCTGTTCTTGTATCCAGGACAGAAACTACTAACAACACATCCTATTCAAGCCCTCATCAGCCAATCAAGCCAGAAGAAACATCCAGTGAAATGTCCACTGGGTCACCAAACTCTATCACCAGCACAGAGATTACCACTAATCAGTCAGGACATGATATAACCTCAAACATGCTCTTCTCCCAAGGCACACCAGAAAATTTCTCAGTTCCCGGAATGCTCTCCAGTGTCTCTCAGAGTTATCCATTATTAGAGAAATCCACTTTTCTCAGCACAAGTTATAATGCTCCATCTAAGACAAAACCCTCAGCACTGGAACATTCCTGGGGAACTACAGTCAGAACAAGCTCTTCATCACCTGTTAATTCCACATCAAAAAGGCATAGTCACTCTTTTGCAGGTTCTATGAACTCACCCCTAGTAGTGACATCAAATGTGGTGACTTCTGAAAGCACATCAACCACTGCTTCAAACAGAGAGACCCAGCACACTGGAACACAGACATTTCTACTTTCAGAATCTATAGGCCATTCTACCAGTTCTCTATCCCCATCATGGACTCATTCAACTTGGAAGGGATCCAGGTCTGCGAAGTCATCAACACCTATACCTGAAGCACCCTCACATTCTCCAGTTCCTGCCAGTGCAGACAAATACAGCACCAATTCTCCTGTTTCTATCACCTCTGTCTTCACAGTTTCTAAGAACCTAATCCCTACCAAATTATTTACAACCTCAGGGTCAGTGACTCTTTCCATACCAAGCTCCAACACTGAACTCTCCAAAATCTCACAGACAACCTCTGTTTCTTCACCCACACCAGTGAAGAACATAGAAGATAGGACTTACACATCCCATGCCCAACACAACATCATGCCTACATCAGTCTCACCTGAAAAGGAATCTTTCACAACCAATTTGTCCACCATGGAACATACCAGACATTCACCTTCACAGCCAATCTCATCTGAAAGTGCAGAGATTGAGACAGGCACAGCTTCCTCCCAGAGAACAGCATGGGCAGATTTCAGTACATCTAAAGACATAAATTCAACCACAAAACACAGTACAAGCCAAAGTGAACTGCCCACTAGCCCTTCTCTTTTTCAGTTTAGGACAGGAATCCTGTCTGCTGACCACACATTGCTGTCAGTCCCTCATCAGTCAACATCAGAAGATACTTCCATTGGAATCTCCACCAGTCTCCCTACCTCCACCATCAGTACAGAAACCAAGGAGATGACAAGCAGATCCACGGGACATTCTCCAGTTACATCAGACATTTTGACTTACCCAGACACATCCTTGGTCAAAGACATCCACTCCAGTGAAATGCATACATTTCCACATTCAGAATCCGTAGTTCCTATCAACAGTCCTGCTTCAGCCTCATGGACACTTACTCCTGAGAAAGGATCCATATCTACAGATTCCACAACAATACCAGAGTTGCTTTCACTGACCCCTGATGCTTCCTTGACAGAGAGACACAGTATTCGCCCTCCTGTTTCTGTTGCTTCTGTTTTCACAGTTACCAAGTATCTGTTTCCAACAGCTTCTCACACAAGTGCAGATCCTGTGACAGCGTACATTCCAAGCTGGAGCAGCATCTCTCAGCCAAGGTCCAAAATTGCGCATTATTCCCAAACCTCACAAAAGAGTAAGTTTTCCTCAGTTACACCAGGGCCAAAAATGGAAGCCAGCAGTTCTGGATCCCAATTCAAATATACGAATACACCTACTTCAGTGTCATCTGAAAATAAAGCTTTCACCACTACCCTTCCTACCGCCCACATATCCACTCTTTCACCTACACAATCAACACTATTTGATAATGAAAAGATTGGGACACAGTCATTTACCCTCTTGACCACACAGACACAAGCTAATATACCTGAGAAGGTGTACTCAAGCACAGATTTCATTAGTAGCCATTCTGAAATGCCTTATAGTTCCTCCCTTCCTGTATCCAGAACAGTATCCATGTCTCTTGATAATACAACACTTCCAACACTTCAGCAGTTTACATCAGAAGATACATCCAGTGGAATTGTCACCAAACTCTATGGATCCAACATCACAGAATCAGAAGAATTATCTACCAGCAAGATTGGGGATTCTAAAGTAACATCAAACATGGTCCTCTCCCTGGAAGCATCACCTATGTCTTCAGTGTCTGACAATATCACTAGTTTCATTCCAACTTCCCTAGTCACAGAGACATCCACATTTCTAAGCCAAAGTTATGAAGTTCCATCAATTGCACCTTTTCCAGACCTGAAAGGAAGCCAACCTGCCAATTCTCCAGGATATCATGATGGTCCTACTTTAACCTCCCCTATTAATTCCACAGCAGAACACAGCACCCCATCTCCTAGTTCTGTGATCTCTGCCTTCACCTCTTCTTCTAGGGAGGCAATCACAACTTGGTTGGAAATACATAATTTGTCTACTTCATTTCCAAATTGGAGCAGTAGTATGCCTTCAAGCCAAGAGACTTCACAGGTCACCGAATTCTCACAGACAAGCTCTGATTCCTCTCTTAAAGCAAAAACAGTTATGGAAGCCAGAAGTTCCATACCCCAATCCAAGTCCTCTATCACACCTACATCAGTTTCCTCTAAAACTGCATTTTCTACCACATTTCAGCATCCTTTGGTAGATACTACAGTTTCTGTTTCACAGGTAACATTTTCTGATGCCTCTGGAGTAATGGATCGCACAGCTTCCATGAGCCAATCACTTCCACAAACTACCATTCTTGAAGAGACCACCACCGCCACAACACACAATACTGACTTTTCTCAGTTGCCCCCAAGCATGACTACTGGAATCTCCATTTCAGAGTCCATGGCAACTGAAAGAATCTCCACCAAAAGCCCTCTTTATGTCTCAGCATCAGAAGACATCATGCCTGGAAGCAGTCCCAGACATATTACCTTTCCTAGCACAAAAGAAGAGTTACCTGTCATCTTTGAAGCAGGTAATTCTGGGTCTTTATTATATTAAACCCTGTCCAGGGACACTGCAACCTCTACTTCTATGACACAATTTTCTTCACTGGAGCCTCAAACATCTCCATAATTAGCACTGATATCTGAACCTAGTGGTCCTGAGGAACAGTCACATGAAAGTTCTTTACTCAAAGAAAAACACAGCTCTTCAGATTCAACACCAACTATGATTGAGAAAAACATACCTTCACCAGTCACTCCTACACCACAAGCACAAAATGTCTCTTCCCTTGCTTTTGTGGCTGCACTTGTAACTGCTGTTCAAAGACAAAAATCTAGTTTCTGGGAGTACCCCAATCCAAGGCCTAGATAACACAGGGCTTTCAACTCTAAGTCCTTCATACAACATAAGAAACATAAAAAAAGGTCACATATTCTCAAAAAGTCCAGAAAGCAGAGTAGAAACCAATAGTCCCAGAGTGCATCCCCAAGGTACTCTCCTAGATAATTCAGTCCTATCAAGACTAACAACTGTAATTATGACCTCACAAAACAATGAGGATGGGATGCACCATTTTCCACACCAATATTCTTATCTAAAACTGCACACAGAGAAACTCAGAAAGATTTCCCCCTAACTTCAGTAAAACAAGAATTCACCATGCCTGAAAATACTAACTTGATGACAAAACCTAGTTCTGATCTTTTCACAGTGCCTACTAGGATTTCCACCGGTCTTTCAAGAACAGAAGCTAACTCAACTGATAGACTATCTGTTTCAAGTTCAACGCTCCTCACTAAGACAACAGACATCTCCACAGGAAATAGTTCTAGTATCTATACACTTTCCATCCCAAATATTGACATGAAAAAAGTAATTAATGCTACAGAATCATCCAAAATCACCACTGTCTGGAACACCTCAGGTACTATTGCTGATACCCAGGCCCTTTCTACTGTAACTAAGACAGTTCTCCAAGTACACTCCATGACTCTTCCCAACAGTTCTGAGTCACTGTCATGGACAGACTTCCCATCCCATGAAGCACCCTCCTCTGTGAATTCTGCAGAAATATATCAGACAACATCACATTTCCCTGCTACTTCCACATCAGAAGGACAAAGTCTCTCCTCTACTGCTTCGATGGCCTCCACATTCTCTTCTAAGGAAACAACTGCAAAGGACACAAACTTAGCTTCTCTTACAACTTTATTTCCAAGCTGGAAAAGCAGTGAGTTAGCCATTTCAAAGGATACAAGAACCTCACAAACATCTTACATGTTCACCAGAAGTGAAGTAACTAGTGAGGATATAAGCACTTCTGGACCCCAGTTTCAAAACACTGTATCATTGGATGCTGTTTCACATGATGGGACTGCCTCATCTTTGTTGACATCACCAACAAAGACTTCACTTTCTTCTGCTTATTCTCTATCACCACAGAGTTCAAACTCTATTTCTTTACCTGAGATGTCATTTCTCACCTCTGAATTCTCTAAGACAACAGACACATTGGGTAGAAGCTTGGATACTGGAACAAGTTTGCCTCCAAATTTGAGCAGCACCTCACTTGAAATATTTGGCTTACCTGAAGTTAATACTGATACAGAAAAATTTCATTCTTCCTCAAAATTTGAAGTAACAAGCATGAAGACCATCAGTACAGGACATGAGCTAAGTTCCACTGTACCAACACCCCCTGAGTCATCCAGGGATACCTATACAGTGGGTACTTCTTACATTTTGGTGTCTTCTATGTCCACATCATTGCCTGCCTATTTAGAGACTACAAGGTCTGATACTGAGCAAGTTTCCCATTTGACTACTGGATTGAGAGACATTAGCATATCCCTACAAACAAACATACCTTCAGCTCCTTTGTCCACTCCTGTGCCAAAGTCTGAGACTGCTGTCACTTCTGCTATGAGCATATCAACTCCATATCAGACTCCATCTTCAAAGTTTACTGAAATTCCATTAGAAACAGTCACCATCGTACATCCTTATTTGTCTACTATAGAATCTACTGTGGCAACATCCTTCTCAGAATCCAATTTTTCTATGCCTTCATCAGAAAGTACTCATGTTCCTAGAACTAATATACTACCTACAGATGAGACCACTCTTATTGAAACAACAACCCTTTCTCCAACAGAAGAAATGCCTCCATTTGCCATAACCAGCACTGCAAAAGGCAACTCAGCTATGAATTTGAGCAGTCCTCATTCTGTAACACAGTCAAGCCATGTTGATGTTTTGGTTTCAACCACTACAGAAAAACTTCCTTCTTCAACTTCTACACCAGTGCTCTTTTCTGCATCCACTAGCACTGACTTTACATCCATCCCAGCTCTCCATGGGATTCCTCTTTCAGGTAATTTACAAACAGAAGATATTGTTATAATGAGTGGCAGCACTCAAGATTCCATGATTATGTTTGGATCTTGAAGCCTAGAACTAATCCCATCAAGACATTATTATCACCTTTCTTCAGAAACATAATGACTGAGAGTTCTGATTTGGGAAGGAGGCAGTGTTTTCAGCCTCCTACACATTCACTGAGGTTGTCCCTACATCCAGAGACTGGGGAAGATAATAGACAATAGCCCTTTCCTAAGAGTAGAACGAAAAGTTAGGAGTTCATTATTGCATTATATTGATTTATGTTTACTATAGTTAGAATTTTTTTTTTCTGAGCCATTTCTTCTTTTTGTTTTGAGATGGGTTTTAGCTATGTAGCCTATGCTGGTCTCAAAGTCACATTCTTTTTTTTTAATTTATTTTTAATTTTACATGTGGATCTCAGTTCCCTCTCTCTCCCTTCCTCCCTCCCCCTTACCCTCTCTGCCTCCTCACATGCACTCTAACCACCTTCCCCTCCCATCCCCCACCCCAATTCCACATGTAGGGCAAAGCTATCCAGGTGGGGTCATTTGTATCTGTCATGTCATTTGAAATAGTGACTAGGACTTCTCTCCTGTCTCTAGGTTAAGGCAGTATCCCTCCATGGGGGATGTGTTCGCAAGGTCCTTTTGTGCACCAGGAATACATCCTGGTCCCACTGTCTGAGGTTCCTTAGACTGTTCAGTCCTTCTTCCTTCCTGAGTCAGTCCCATGCTGGCTTCCCAGCTATCAGTCGGGGGCCCGTTAGCTCCTTCTTGTTCAGGTCAGCTGACTTTATGTGTTTCTGCAACCTGGTCTTGACCTCTCCATCTGCATCTGGGTTCTACTTCGACTCAGTGTTTAGGTATGGGTGTTTGCTTCTGTTTCCAACAGGCATTAGATGAGGGCTCCATGGATAAGTTAGTTGTTGATCTCATTATTGGGGAAGGGAATTTATCGTAGCCTTTCCATGGTTGCTCAAATTGTTAGTTGGCGGCAGTCTTGTAGTTCTCTAGACCTTTCTTTAGGTTCAGTTTTCTCTTCAAACTAATAATGGCTTCCTCTTTTATGTTCATTCTCTCTCTCTCTCTCTCTCTCTCTCTCTCTCTCTCTCTCTCTCTCTCTCTCTCTCTCTCCTGTCTTCTATTCCTATCCTGACTCAATCTTCCTAGTCACATCAAATCATAAAAATTAGTAAGTGTTATGCTCATACATGCTGAAACAATGCTCTCATCATCCCACTTCCTACTATGAACTCTTCTCACTTTATTTTCTACCTTCTAAATTCCTTTGTAGTCAGTTTTCTGCCTTTACAGCTTTTACATGTTTGTTTACACATAACATAAAGTCTATCATATTTATTTTTCTGTTTGCCTAATATTGTTAAACACGATTATATCTAGTTCCTAGAACTTACATCTGAGTAAAACTCTGTTGTATATACTGTAGATTTTTAAATTCATCTAACTATTTAAAAGCATGAATCTTGTTTTGTGCATTACTGAACATGGGACTTAGGACCTCACACATGTGAGGCAAGTGTAATACAGATAATCTATATCCTCTACCCTCATCCTAGAAATTTCTTTAGATAACAGTGGTTGAACTACTAACACCAATCACATCTATTAATAGAGGTTGGCACAGGCCAAATATAGAAAATAAGACAGTCTATGAGTAATTTCTACAATGTAATAGATATAATAGTCTATAATATAATAAATGTTTTAGTGTGATTGTTAATGATATTTAATAGTGATGATAATAACAATTAGGCATATATGGCAATTATTTCTATGTATACATTGTTTCATATATGCTTTGTATCTTTATTGTAATATTAATTTGTGGGTAATGAAGTTGAGATACATGGAAGATATAATTTTCTCACTATCAAGCTCATAAGTGACAGAAGTAAGCTAATAACTTAGTCATATGTGCTTGGTTCATGCCTGTCACTCTAGCATGGGAGAAAGACAAGGCAAAAAGATCCTGTCTTCAAAAAGAACTGGAGTTAGTGAGACCCTATCTGAAAAATCAAAGTGTACGGGTATACTTTAGTGCTAGAAAACCTCAACTAGCATGTATAATGCCACAGGTTTGAATCCAAGGATTTCCCCCCAACAAAAAATAAGTCTAACTAAACAGGAGTAGGGATTTATGTTCTTAGTCATTAATTTAAGTAGGGGAAGTTAAAAAGCTAGCAGAAAGTACAAGAGATTCTGGCATTACAGTAGTCATGTAAAGACAAGATTTTAGAGAGAAATTGTTAGCTTTGTCAAATAATGCAGAAAGGCTAAGCTGCCATGAAGTGAAGCATAGAGGACTCGACTTCAGCCAAAGTTAAATGGAGATAAAAGGGAGAGATATTGATTTGGTTTGTTTTGGGAAGTTATTCCATATGGATTGACACATATGCTTTATTCCTAAACAGCATATGCAGTCCATATATATATATATATATATATATATATATATATATATATATATATATATATTGTGGCATATGGAGGCCCTGGATAGTCTAGAACTAACTCTGTAAATTATGCTGAGCTTGAATTTGAAACAGTCCTGCCCTAGACTCCAATATAGCAGAGATTATAGGCATTATAGTACTAGACCTGACTCAACAGAGATTTTCTACCTTTGAGTTCAACATGCTACTAGAATTAGAACAATGTCAGAAAGAAGGCAAATCATGTGATCATGAAAACAGAAAGCACCTGATGATGTGGGATGGACCCAGAAAGCACTGAATACACTAGAAGACACCTTAAGGATGCTATCAGTGTAAGAGAACTAAATTTGTTATCAGATTTCATTTGTGACACAATTCTAAAAATGACCCTCAGCAACACTACTAGATTCATTAGGCAATCTCCAGAGGAAGTGTGTTTGAGTCCCTACATAGATTCATTTTCTCTATACATTATCTTTATATATCACCAGTGGGCTTCAGACTCAAAGTGTTTGGATTTCTGGTCTTGTAGTTGCAGTTCATCCATACTCTGAAGAGAAATAAAGTCAAATAAAAAGATAAGGAAACATTTAAGTAAAGATTGAAGAAAAAGAGGGCAGAGAGAAAGTAAGAAGTGGGACATTATTTATTTGGTAGTGTGCTGCTTAATATGCACAAGGCTCTTGGTTCCACTCCAACATTGGATAAAGTAGGCATGGTGGTATACACCCATATTCCAAGAGCTTGGAGACAGGCTATGGCTCAAGGTCATTGTAATAGATTCTAGAAAAAAAATGAAATGTGCTCAATGAAATGATCTATTAAGGCTGTACAGTCTTTCTGGAAGAGATACTTACCTATTTTCTACCTTGCCCTTTCCTTCAGAAACAGAAGATGGCATTCAGTCCCACACAGAGACACCTGATGGAACTACCCGTGGAAACACAACAAGCCTAGGAAAGGCCCCTCTGGCTTCTATATCACTTGCTAGCCCTAAAGGTAAGTCCCACTGTGCTTATTCCCTAGAAAGTATAAATAATAACCTTTGCCTTATTTCCTGTTCCAGAGCACCAAATCTCTTAATTTCCTCTACGAGAATACTATATGGTTTTCATTGATCCTTGTCTGAGCATGATGTTTGTCTAATGGTTACTGCATAGAAGACAATGTATAACAGTATTCTCATCATATGCTGAGAAAGAAAGATTTACTCTGGATCTCAAACTTTATTTTCTCCCCTCACTCTGTCTCTAAAGCCTTTCTATATAACTCAAGCTGGCTTTAGACTGACAATTTTACTGACATGGCCTCCTAAATGCTAAGATTTCAAATATATGAAATCTGTGATATAAATTGAGAATGCAAAGAAAGACATCAAATCAACAAAATCACTGTAATGCAACTTTGTGTGTGGGGAGTGCTGGTGGTAAGCCACAGCAGTTTGTATTTGCTAGGCAAGCACACTATTGCTGAAACCTGCCCACAGCTTCTCACTAGCAGATTTTAAGTCAAGAACTATACTTCCGAACAACATGTCCAGGTTTCTCACTGGAAGATTCTAGGTAGGGACTGTACCCCAGAACCATTCCCCCAACTCCTCACTGGGGGATTTTAGGCATGTCTGAAGCCTGAAAGCATAAGAGCTCACCAGTTCCTTGGAACTGGAGTTATGGATGTTTATAAGCCAGTAAGTGGATACTTTGAACCAAAAAAATGGGCTTTTGCATGAGCAGAAAGTGTTCTTAACTGTGGAGCCATATTTACTGTTCCATGTTTTTAGTTTCTTAAGGAACCTCTATACATTTTTTAAGTGGATGGACTCAATAGCCTACTTTACCACCAAGAGTGTATAATGTTCATTTTTTTCAACAGTTATAAGTGTTTTTTATACTTTGTATGGAAATGTCATTTTTACTAAGATAGAAGTAAGTCTTGGTGTAACTTTGCATTTCTATAATGGCTAAGAATGTTGAGCATTTTCACCTATAGACTTAGTGGAAGCCCAGGTTTTAGTGAGCTACTTTTGAGATCTAGGTTTATAGTAAAGTTACCACCAAGTCAGAACTGTTAATTCATCTTGTGGCCAAAGCATCTTAAGTGGCTTTCCTAAGAAACAGTCTTTAAATCTAAGATGTTGAAGCTCATAGGCTATCCCAAGTTGAGAGAGGTCCCAGATTGCACTTGGCCAAGAAGACAAAGAAGAAAAGGAAAAGAATTCAATTCAAGGTACCTTAGTGTGCAGATTCCAGTCTGGGTCACAGTATTTACAGGTGTTCTCTACCATACTCAGATTATGCAGTTCTAGGGATTGAACACTTTAAATGCTAGGTAAATATTCTACCCAGTGAACTCCATGCCCAGTCAATGTACACTGAAATGTACACATAAAACAGTACTGTGAAATGTTCATTATCTTCCAAATTGGAAAAAAAAATTATGTAATCAAACAGTGCTAGTAAACCTGGGTTTGAACAAAGCCAAACAAGTTCTACAGCCACATCTCTAGAAATACAAACAAATGAACTAACAAATCAACACAGGACTATCACATTATGGAATCCAAACTTTCAAACAAATGCCACTTGTCACCTCTCTCAAATCAAAGGAGATGAATTTTTATGTACCACTGTTTCATGTCTTCATTTATTCATTTATTCACTCATACTTTAAGTTGAACACCTACCACTCATCAAGCAGTCAGACAGTAATTGTTAACAGGCAGAATTTCTGACAATGAGAAATTTCAGTTCAGACATTGTGGTAGGCAAATATGGAGCAAATGAAATATAATTGTCAGTGAAGGTGGATATAAGCTTGCAGATGACCAGAATTGATGGGGTTTGATGAGGGATCAGTAGATCAGGAGGAGGGAAGAGTGTAACCTTAAGTAGTACAGAAAATAGAAGGAACAAGGTTTGGATAATTATGATCACAAATTTATGGAGGAGTTGTAGCTCAAAGGATATAGGAGGGCAAAAGTTGTGGCTCAGTTGGTACAGTACTTGCCTAGAATTCACAAAGCCTTGAGGTTTTTTTTGTTTTTTGTTTTTTTTTTTAACTTGGCACCATATAAAGTAAATGAGGTGATGCTGCATATCTATAATCTCAGTACTTAGGAACCAGTTGGATAAAAAGTTTAAGGACACCTTAGCTATGTAGTGAGCTTAATGTTGGCCTGGTAAATAGGAAACCCTATCTTTCTGTCTCTGTTATCTGTCTGTCTGTGTTCCTGTCTCCTTCTTGCTCTCTGTCTGTCTCTCTGTATCTCTATGTCTTTGTGTTTCTCTCTCTCTCTCTCTCTCTCTCTCTCTCTCTCTCTCACACACACACACACACACACACACACACACACACACACACACACACACCAGAAAATAAAAAAAAAGCATCTGTGGGGAAAAAGGATGAGCAATACAGCAAAATTCACAGTACCTTTTTCCCTGGCCAGATAGTGCATCCCATCCCAGGAAAGCAGCAATGTCATAAATAGATCTTTCCCTTTTATTATCATGTAGGGGAAAATATGAATTGCCTATCTAAAATGTGTAAACATTTTTACAAGTTGTGTTGCATGTCTAAACTTACAGAGCCATCCACAGAAGCAGCAGCAAAGGAGGATACCACCACCACAGCTCTGAAGTTTACTCCCAGTGCCACTTCAACTACCAAAATCTCTACTACAACTTCAAAACCCTTGATTCACCTCAAGACAGCAGAGAAAACAGGCAACATAAATGCAACAGAGATGATTATCACAGCCTCAGATGCTTCCCACACTTTCCTAGGCATAGCAGCATTATTTTCCACAGGCTCTGGAGAAAATGCCAGCCTGGTCCTCAGTACAAGACCATCTTTTTACAGTACAGAATCAGAGAGCACAGCTTCATGGAGCTCCAGTCTTAGGACAGAGACCAGCCCAGATGTTTATCCTTTACACATCTCGTCTGGTGAGTCTGAATCAGTCTCATTGGTCACCCATCCTTTAGAGATTACTTCAGCTGTTGCCAATATAAACCAGAATGGTTTTCAAGATGAATCGGATTCCATAGTGTCCACAGCCACCACTCCCAGAGAAGAAGCCAGTTCAGACATTCCAGCAGCAGCAGTTTCTCCTCTTATACCAAATTTGGTGACCTCACTGATTACCAGGCCTAAAGAAAGCACCATTTTGTTTACTCCGACTCTTACTGATTTCCTGAGTGAACCAAAGACAACAGGCTCTGGGGTCACCCATTCTGGGGCAGAAGTGAGTTATTCTGTTCCCACTACATTTTCTACTGACACATCAGGAATGGCAACTTCATTGGATATTAGTTCTGGAGCAGAGACCAAACCAGCTCTTCAAAGTCTGACTTTTGAGTCACATACAACAGTATCAACTGCCATGCATCTTACACAGAGCAGAATCCTTGTTTCTGAAAATATTTCTGACATTTTCTATGGTGAATCTGATACTACCACACTTACAATGGATACTACTCATGGGACAGAAATCATGGCAGCCTTTCCAACCACTACCACATCACCTGGTATGACAAGATTGACAACCTCACTGGACATTAGTTCTCAGACACAGGAAAAAAATAGTATGTCAACTATGACTCCTGATGGTGAACCAGAATCCATTACCATAATTGTCACTGATCTTGAAGCATGGGGAAGTACAGCTATTCTAAATACAACTACTTTGGCTGCTGTATCAGGAAAGAAAATAGAGCCAACTATTTCAACTTTTATTGCTTTTCCAAGTCAACCATTTAAGACGGCCTCTTGGACTACCCAGACTGGGTCAGAAGTCCCATCAGCCATTCCCAATGTGCATTTTTCCTCTGGTGAGCCAAATACAACAACATTGGGAATCACCCATCCCACAGAGACAAGCTTTACTGTGCCTAAGACAGACCTAACAGTTTACCATGGTGGATCAAATTTGAAACTCTCAACAACCACAAGTACTGGGGAAGAATCCAGTTCTGATCTTCCAGAGACAGGAGCCACAATAATCACTCATACTGGGGTACAGAAAACTTCATCCTTTTCGACTATGACTGCTTCCTCTGGCATACTTGGAATAGAGACTTCACTAGTCCCCAGTTCTGAGATATACACCAGTATAATTTCCCCAACAATAACAAAATATTCACAAGAGCTAGAGAAAACAACATCACAAGTAACTATTTCTACAACATCAGAAGATAGGTTTCCTGTTACAACTCTTACTACCTTATCAGGTAAAGCAGGTGCATCAGCCTCATTTGTTACCAATCCTGAAGAAACCCACTCCAGGCTTCCCAGGACAAGCCCAAGGTTTTCCCATATTGAGTCTCATACTATACCCTCAACAACTACTGCTATTGAACAAGAAGCCATATCATTTGCTCCAACTATATCTATCTCAAATAGTATTCCAAATATGGTAACACTAGACGGTCACAGTTCTGAGGAAGATGCAAGAACATCTAAACCAATTACCAAAATTTCTCTGATCTCTCATGCTTGGGAAAAGACTAGTTCACCTATATTTACTACTACTGTCTCTCCAGGAGTAACAGAAATAAGGAGACCACTGTTCACTAGCTCTGAGACATGGATAGATAAAAGAAATCAAACTATTTCCCCAGGTCAACCAGAGACCACAACCTCATGGACTATGAATCCTGGAATAGAAGTGATTTCAAGGGTGAAACCTACAACCATCTCACCTAGTGTTTTAGACACAGTGACCTCGAAATCTGTGAGCCAAACTCCTAAACTACAGAACACAATTTCATTAGTAACTGATGTTGGGGAAGTATACAGTTCAGCCATGTCTACTCTGGCTGACTTTGCAGGTAATACAGAAGTAACCACATCAATGATCACTAACTTAGGTTCAGAAAACCATGCAACAACTTCAACTCTACCCTTTTCTTCAGGCCCACCAGAGACAACAATATCCTGGATGAACAAGCTTAAAAAAGAAGCCACTTCAGGGGTTATAATGACAAATTCAAAACCTAGTGTTACAGACATGATGACCTCAACAATCATGAACCACACCCCTTCTGAAGCACAGAACACAACACCATTGGCCACTCATGCTGGGAAACAACACAGTTTGGACATGAATAGCATGGTAGTCACTCAGGGTATAACAGAAATGACATCACTTGTCAACAGCTCTGGCAAAGAAAGCCATGCAGTACCTACAAATATGGCTTTAATCCCTATACAACCAGAGACCACAACAAATGGGATAACCCATCCTACAATAGAAGACATTTCAGGGATGTTATCTACAAGCATATTACCTACTGTGCCAACTATTATTCCTTCTGAACCAGATACTGAAGTTTCATTGGTCACCAACATTGGGAAACAGTCCAGTTCATCCAGGTTTACAAGGCCTATCTCTGCAAATATAACAAAAATGATACCATCACTCCTTAATACCTATAACACAGAAAAGTATTCAGTGTCTTCAACACTGGATGTTTCACTAAGTCAACCAGAGAACACAGACCCATGGCTCACTCATTCTGGAAAAGAAGCCACACTAGGGGTCTTAACTACTACCATTTCAGCTGGTATCCCAGAAATGATCACTTCAACAAATTTTATTCCTTCTGAACCACATACCACACGTTCATTAGTCACCCACATTTGGGAACAGCCCAGTTTAACCATGTCTACAAGGTCAGTCCCTCCAGGTATAACAGAAATGATACCAACACTTGTCACCAGTTCAGGCACAGAAAGCCATTCCCTGACTTCAACACGAATTGTTTCTCCAGATAAACCTGGGACCATAGGTTCATGGGTCACCAATCATGAAAAAGAAGGCACATCAGAGAATCTAAGTACAACTATATCAACTGCTATTCCAGATATAATGACCTCAATGACTCTGAACTACACTCCTTCAGAACCACAGACCAAAGCACCATTGGTCACCTATGCTGGAAGACATCCTATTTCATCTATGTCTACCCAAGCTGTCTCTTCAGATATAACAGAAATAATGCCATCTCAAGCCACTAATTCTAGCACAGTGACACATGAAGATAGCTCCACTCTACTTGTTTCCCCACTGCAAACAGAGTCTACAGCCTCATGGACAACTCATATGGAAAGAGAAACCACTTCAGATATTCTAAATACTACCATTTCAGCAAGTGTTCTAGACCTTGTTACTTTCACATCTCTTATTCCATCAGAAACACATTCCACAGTTTCATCTGTTACCCACATTGATGAACAGCCCAGCTCTGCCATCTCTACTCTGGCTGTCTCTCCAGGTATAACAAAAATGATACCAGCACTGCTCCCTAGCTCTGGTACAAAACACATTTCAACAGCTACAATTCTGGCAGTTTCCATAGGTCAACCAGAGACCACAGATTCATGGGTCACCCATCCTGTAAAAGCAGTCACTTCAGACATTTTTTCTAAAACCAAGCAACCTGTTGCTCCAGAGAACATAACTGAAACAAGTCTGCTGAGCATTCCTTCTGAAACACAGACCATAATAGGAGTTTTTACCCATGCTGAGGCACAACCCAGTTCATCGCTGTCTACTCTGACTGTCTCTTCAGGAGTAACAGAAATGATGAAATCCCAGGCCACCACTACTGGGACAAAGACACATAAAACAAGCCCACCTGTATTTGTTCCCCCAGGTCAAACAGAGACCTCATGGACAACTCATGCTGAAAGGGAAGAAATTTCAGTTGTTCTAAATACCACAAATTCAACTAGTGTTTCTGACCTCCTTAATGACACAACTCTTATTTCTTCTGAACCACATTCAACAGTTTCATTTGCTATTCACAATGGTGAACAGTTCAATCCAGTCATGCCTACTCTGGATTTCACTGCAGGTGTAACAGAAATGACTCCATCACTGGTTACTAAGTCTACTACACAAAACAATTTACCAGTTACAACTCTGGAGGTTTCCACAGAACAAACAGAAATCACAACTCTATGGGTCACCCATCTTGGAAAAGAAGGCTTTTCAGGGGATTTATCTACAACCATATCACCTAGTGTTTCAGACACAATGAACGCAACAACCCTGAAGCACACTGCATCTGAAACACAGTTTATAACATCATTGGTCACCCCTGCTAGTGGACATCCAAGTTCATCCATGTCTACTCAGTCTTCCTCTTCAGGTTTAACAGAAATGACACCATTACTAGTCACTAGCTTGGGTACAGGAAGCTATGTGATCACTTCAACTCTGGATGATTCTATGGGTCAGACCACATCTGCATTGGTCACCCATCCTGAAAGAGAAGCCACACCAGGTGTTCTAACAACCACCATTTCAACTGGTGTCCCAGAAATGATGACAGCAAGAACGCTTATTCCTTCTGACCCACATAACACAATTTCATTGGTCACCCACATTGAAGGACAGCCCAGTTCAACCTTGTTGACAAAGCCTGTGTCTCCAGGATTAACAGAAATTATACAATCACTGGTTACCAAGTCAAGCACAAAGAGCCATCCTGTAACTTCAACTCTTTGTTGTTCCCCAGGTCAACCAGGGACCATGGGGACATTGGTCACTCGTCCAGGAAAAAAAGATACTTCAGGGGATTTATCTACAACCATCTCAACTAGTGTTCCAGAAATGATGACCTCAACAACTCAGGACCACTTTGAAATACAGACCATAGCATCATTGGTCACTCATACTGGTGGATATCCCACTTCATCCATAGCTATTCAGGGTGTCTCTTCAGGGGTAACAAAAATGATGCCATCTCAGGCCCCTAGTTCTAGCACAGTGACACATAAAACTAGCCCAGCTCTATTTGTTTCCCAGATTCATAGTGAGTCCACAGCCTCATGGACCACTCACAGGGAAAGAGAAGCCACATCAGGTGTTCTAAATACCACCATTTCAGCCAGCGTTCCAGACTTAGTTACTTCCACAACTCTTATTCCTTCTGAACCACATTCCACAGTTTCATTTGTTACCCACATTGGTGAACAGCTCAGTTCATCCATGCCTACTCCAGTTGTCTCTCCAGGTATAACAAAAATTACACCATCCCTGATACCTAGCTCTGGAACAAAAAACATTTCAACAGCTACAACTCTGGCAGTTTCCCAATATCAACTAGGCACCACAGGTTCATGGGTCAGCCATTCTGGAAAAGAAGGTTCTTCAGTTCTATCTACAACCATATCACCTAGTGTTCCAGACATGATGACCTCAACAAGTCTGACCAGTACTCCTTCTGAATCACAGACCATAACAACATTGGACACCCATGCTGGTGGACATCCCAGTTTATCCATGTCTACTCAGTATGTCTCATCAAGAGTAACAGAAATGACACCATCACTAGACACTGACTTGGGCATAGGAAGTTATGCAGTCACTTCAACTCTGGATGTTTCCATAGGTGAGCCTGAGACCACAGCCACATTGGTCACCCATCCTGAAAGAGAAGTCACATCAGGGGTACCAACTAATATCATTTCAACTGGTGTCCCAGAAGTGATGACTAAAACAACTCTTAATCCTTCCGAATCACATAATACACTTCCATTGCTCACCCACATCGAGGGAGAGCCCAGTTCAACCTTGTCTACAAAGCCTATGTCTCCAGGTATGACAGAAATAGTACAATCCCTGGTCACTAGCTCAAGCACAGAAAGTCATTCCATGACTTCAACTGTGGATGTTTACTCAAATCAACCAGGGATCACAGCTCCATGGGTCAACCATCTTGGAAAAGAAGGTACTTCAGGGATACTGTCTACTACCATCTCACCTAGTATATCAGAAATGATGACATCACCATCAGATAGTCTTTTTTCTGGTGAACCACACACCACAGTGTCATTGGTCACTCATATTGAGGGGCAGCCCAGTTCAGGAATGTCTACAAAGCCTGTCTCTCTGGGTTTAACAGAAATTATATCATCTCTTGTCACTAGTGCAAGCACAGAAAGCCATTCAGTGACTTCAACTGTGGCTGTTTCCCCAGATCAACCTGGGACCACAGGTTCATGGGCCACTCATCCTGGAAAAGAAAGTACTTCAGAGATTCTAAATGCAACTATCTCACCTGCTATTCCAGACATAAGGACCTCAACAACTCTGAACCATACTCCTTCTGAAGAAAAGACAATAACATCATTAGTCACCTATGATAGTGGTCATCACACTCTATCTACATCTACTCATGGTTTCTCTTCAGGCATAACAGAAATGACAACAACTCAGGTCACTAGTTCTAGCACAGTGACATATGAAACTAGCCCTGCTCTATTTGTTTCCCCACTGCAAACAGAGTCTATAGCCTTAAGGACAACTCACGCGGAAAGAGAAACCACTTCAGGTGTTCTAAATACCACCATTTCAGCCAATGTTCCAGACCGTGTTACTTCCACAACTCTTATTCCTTCTGAACCACATTCCACAGTTTCATTTTTTACCCACATCAGTGAACAGCCCAACTCTACCATCCCTACTCTGGCTGTCTCTTCAGGTATAACAAGAATGACACCATCACTGGTCCCTAGCTCTGGTACAAAAACCATTTCAACAGCTACAACCTTGGCAGTTTCTACAGATCAACCAGAAGCCACAGGTTCATGGGTCACCCATTCTGTAAAGGCAGTCACTTCAGACATATTAACTACAGCCATGCCACTTAGTTCTGCAGAAAACACAACTGCAATGTATCTTACCAGTGCTCCTTCTGAAACACAGACCATAACAGCATTGGTTACCCATCACAGTGGATATTCCAGTTCATCCATGTCTATTCAGGCTGTCTCCTCAGGAGTAACAGAAATGAAAACATTACAAGACACTACTACTGGAACAGCAGCACATGAATCCAGTCCAGCTCTATTTGTTTCCCCAGGTCAAACAGAGTCTACTGCCTCAGTGACAACTCATGCTGAAAAGGAAGAAACTGCAGTTGTCTTAAATACAACCATTTCAGCTAGTGTTCCAAACCTCTTTAATGACACAACTCTTATTTCTTCTAAACCACATTCCACCATTTCTTTTGCCACACAAATTGGTGAACAGTTCAATTCAGTTGTGCCTACTCTGGCAGTCTCTCAAAGCTTAACAGAAATGATGTTGTCACCGGGCACTAGCTATGCTGAAGAGAATAATTCAACTCTGGCAGTTTCCACAGATCATCCAGGGACCACAACCCCATTGGTTACCTATCCTGGAAAAGAAAACTCTTCAGGGGATCTATCTGCAACCATCTCACCTAGTGTTCCAGACATGATAACCTCAACAACTCTGAACCATACTCCTTCTGAACCACAGGTCACAGCATCATTGGTGACTCCTGCTAATGGACATCCCAGTTTATCCATGTCTACTCTGTCTGTCTCTTCAGGTGAGACAGAAAGAGTACCATCACTGGTCACTAGCTTGGGCACAGGAAGCTATGGAATTACTTCAACTCTAGATATTTCCATAGGTCAGCCTGAGACTACAGCCACATTGGTCACCCATCATGAAAGAGAAGCCATATCTGGGGTACCAACTACTATCATTTCAACTGGTGTCCCAGAAATGATGACAGCAACAATTCTTACTCCTTCTGAACCACAGACCAGAATTTCATTTGTCACCTCTGCTGAGGGTGAGACCAGTTTAAACCTATCTACCATGGTTGTCTCTCCAAATATAACAGAAATCATGACATCACAGGCCACTGCTTCTGGGACAGAGACACATAAAATTCCTCCAGTTCTATTTGTTTCCCCAGGTCCAAAGGAGACCACAGCTTCATGGGTGACTCATATTGAAAGAGAAGCCACCTTAGGTTCTCAAACTACCACTATTTCAACTAATGTTCCAGATGAGATTACTTCACTAACTCTTATTCCTTCTGAAGCACATACTGCAGTTTCATTGGTCACTGACATTGGGGAACAGCCCACTCCAGCCACATTTACAATGCCTGTCTCTCCAGGTATAACAGAAATGATACCATCACTGGTCACTAGTTCTGGCTCAGAAAGTCATCCAGTGACTTCAACTCTGGCCATTTCCCTAGGACCAACAGCCCCATTGGTCACCTATCCTGGAAAAGAAGGCACTTCAATGGCTGTAACTACAACCATCTCACCTAGTACAGATACAATGACCTCAATAAGTCTGAACCACACTCCTTCTAAACCACAGATCATAACATCGATCACCCATGCTGGTGGACATCCAAGTTCATCCATGTCTACTAAAGCTGTCTCTCCAGGTATAACAGAAATGAAACCATCAGTATATACTGGTTTTGGCACAGAAAGTTATGCAAAGACTACAATTCTGGCTGTTTCCTCAGGGTTATCTGAGATCACAGTTCCATGGGCCACCAATCCTGGAAGAGAAGGTACTTTAGGGGTTTTATCTACAACCATCTCCCCTAGTGTGCCAGAAATAATGTCTGCACCAACTCTTATTCCTTCTGAAGCACATACTGCCATTTCATTGGTCACTGACATTGGGGAGCAACCCAGTTCAGCCATGTCTACAAGCCCTGCTTCTCTAGGTATAACAGAAATGATACCATCACTGGTTACTAGTTCTGGCTCAGAAAGTCATGTAGTAACTTCAACTATGGCCATTTCCCCAGGTCAAACAGAGACCACAGCCCTATGGTCCAGCCGTCCTAGACAAGAAGACACTTCTGGAGTTGTAACTCTAGCCATCTCACCTAGTGCTTCTGGTCTGATGACCTCAACATCTCTGAACCACATTACTTCTGAACCACAGACCACAACATTGTTCATCAATGCCGGGGGACAGCCTACTTTATCTACATCTTCCCTGGCTATCTCTTCCCATGTAACAGAAACAATACCAGTCACTAGCTCTGGTGTGACAGAAAAGATGACTTCACCAAATCTTATTTCTTCTGAAGCACATACCACAATTTCTATGGTCACCCACACTGCAGAGCAGCTTAGTTCAACCATGTCTACAAGGCCTGTCTCTTCCCATGTAACAGAAACAAGACCATCACTAGCCACTAGATCTCACAAAGAAAGTGATTTAGTATCTTCCACTCTGGCTGCTTCTACAAGTCAGCAAGAGACCACAGCCTCATGGGTCACTCTTCCTGTAACAGAAGCCACTTCAAGTATTCCAAGGACACCCATCTCTCCTAGTGTTCCAGACATAATGGCCTCACCCACTCTTTTTCCTTCTGAACCATATACCACAATGACTTTAGAATCCCACATTGGGGGAGAGTCCAGTTCAGGCATGTCTACAAGGCCTGTCCCTCCAAGTATGACTGAAATGATGACATCACTGGTCACTACTTCTGAGACAGAGACACATTCATCTACTCTAACTCTATCTGTTTCAACTCAAACAGAGGCCACAGCCTCTTGGGTCAGCCATCCTGGAAAGGAAGCAACATCAACAATTTCTACTCTGTCTACTTTACTTGGTGAGCCAAAAAGAACTGAAACATGGCTCACTCTTTCTGCCAAACCCAACACACCACTTTCCACAACAACTCCTACATTTTCATATAGTGAATCAGACATCACTCCTTCAGCTTCTAAGACAGAGGCCACTCCAGCCATTCCAAAAACTCTTTCATCTGGTGTACAATATATGACCACTCCTCTGGTTCCTGGTTCTACAACAGACAATAGTATGATTTTTCTTCCATTGAGTACACTGATGCGTGAACCAACATCAGCAGTCTCCTCGATCACTCAATCTACCTTAACCCAACAAACTTCCAGTTTTTCTGATAGTGGTTTAGATATAACAACCTCAATAGTCAATTATCCTGGAATAGAGACCAATTCATCTGTGCCAACAATGACTGTCTCTTCTGGAGCACCAGGTGTAATGATCTCACAATTTACTAGCTCTGGGCCATCAAAGAGTGCATTTCCAGCTACAGTTCTGTCTCCTAGTAAACCAAAAAGCACAGCCTCATTAACCACCCTCCTCAGTCCAGAGACTAACAGAACATTACCTGTTTCAACTGGTTTTCCTTCAACTGTCTTGGAGACCACATCCTCTGAACCAATTACACCCAGAGTAGACAGTAATGCAACTCTCTTAACACAGACCATCTCTTCTGGTGGACCAGAAATGACAAAATTCCTCTTGAACTCATTTGTGACTGAGGACAGCAGAAATGACCTGGGTACAACATTTTCATCTAGTGTTTCTGAAAAAACAGCATCTCTCTCCATCCACTCTGGAACTGACACCAACACAACCATTCTAACTGTAACCCCTTCCCTTGTTTTAGCAAGAACCACAGGCTTCTGGACTTCCATCCCTTCAACAGAATCTACTCTGACTATACCCCATAGTGTCTCTGGGTTTCCTGGTGCTCCTACAACTAGTAAATTTAGCAGTGCAATTTTACAGAGCACAGAAAGTTCAGCATCTGTCACTACAGTTAGACTTCCCAATTTTGTCAGTGATGTCACAAGCCCTGTAATGACCTTGATATCATCAGAGTCCTCAACAATCTCACTTACTGACCTGGAAACTACAAGTGAGACTTCTCATTTAGCTACCACAAGTTCAAGACCCACTGAGGCTAAGACCACAACTACACTACATGGAAGTCCTTTTGCCCCTATGGCTACCTCCCGATTGTCCACATGGTCTTCTGAGAATGTGACTTCAAGACCAAGTAAGAATACATTTTATTATTGTAGTAATATACAACATATATGTATGTAATATAAATACTTCCTCTTTGTGTTTTAGGTATACAATTCAGTATTGTTGCATGCACTTTGCTTCCAGTTTTTGGATTCCTGTTCATTATTGGCTTTGTGAGGATTGAATCTAGGACCTCACAGACTTCAAGTGTTATGCCACTAACCCATATCCACAAGCCTCCAAAGAATGTGCAGTCAGAGACAAGACAACATCAAGTATTCTCCGTTATCACTCTTCACTTCATTCCATTTAGTCAGGGTCTTTCACGGAACTTAGAACTAGACTGGAAGTGAAGGAATATAAGATTCTCCTATCTCCACCCACATCACTGCTCTGTCTGGTGTAGCAGGTACACATATGGTCAAGCCCAATATTTTACATGTGTGCAAGGGATTCAAACTCAGGCTCTCATACTTGTCCTACAAACACTCTCATTCACATATCCCTCTACATAGCCCCAAGAGCTATAATCTTTTTTATTACATTTTGAATTGATTTTTTTCTTTGTCTTTTGTTTTTGACATTTTAATATAATTACATAAATTTTCCTTTCCCTATCCTCCCTCTAAATCATCCAATAAACCTTCACCTTGCTCTTTTTCAAAGTTATGACACTTATTTTATTAGTTGTTCACACACACACACACACACACACACACATACATATATACATATCCCTAAATATAATCTACCAAATCTATGCAATGTATGAATATTTTCAGGGCCAATCCTTTGGCTTTTACAAGCAATTAGTATGTTCTTCCCTGTTCTACTCTGAGTATTCCATAGTTACCTGTGTTCTTTTTGTAGGGTTAAGTACTTGTGGTCTTTTGATATCCACTTTGGCATGTCTATTATTGCCCTAGTTCAGTTCATGTTTTGGCAGTGATGTTGGTAAGAATTTTTGAGTGTGGCTTCTAACATTACTAACAGACACAATCTCACAGCAAACTCCCTGAGCTGCTGTCTTTTACAATCCTTCTGCCTCCTCATCAATGTTCCTGAGTCTTAGGTGCTGGAGTGTTTTGTAGATGCATCCATTAGAACTGGACTCCTTAACTCTGTGTTATGACTGGTTATTGTTCTTTGAAATGGTTTCTATTGCAAAAAGAAATTTCCTTGATGAAGATTAAGGACTACACTTCTTTGTGGGCATAAAGACAAATGTTTAGATTGTTGTTTGGGATTATGCTGATTTAGTAAATTGGTATTTGAATGTTTTCCATAGTAATAATTTTTTCAGATCTTTCTGAAGTCTAAATAGAGAGCTGTTGGTTACCACCAAGGTATTCATACCACTACTTACCTGTAAGGCTATGTTGGCAGTGTAGGCATTATAGCTGTGCAGGCATGTCATAGGCATTATAGCTGTGTAGGACTGTATCTTCCATAGTGCCTTTTAGTACCATGAAAAGTAGTCTTCAATGAGGAAGCATTCAAATCAGTTCCAGCTCATGATCTTTTGGTCCCTGTTTCTTAAGTCCATGGTATCTTTAGCAAACTGGGACTTACTTCCACCTGTGGCAAGGGGAGGGGAGAAACCAAAGGAAATGGCTATGGTTTTCAATGGAAAATTCTGACCAACAACTCAAAGGGGGGCTTCTTATGCATAATATTGGTGACTTTGTTGAGTAGTCTTGTTTTTGAAGGGAGCATTGTCAGTCCACAAGAGAAAATTTCATTCAATTATGTATGTGTATCTATACCATTATTTATGTGCAATATAGGTAAATTTTAGGTATGTAGCTAATAGTATAGTTATTTTGTGACTTTTTCAGACATAGTTTTACATTCTTCTGCATTTATCTTCCTCCCTCCTCCATGATTAGAGCACCCATTTCTTTTTCTTTTTCTTTTCTTCTTCTTTTTTTTTCTATAGCTCTCAGATAAGCTGTTAAAATGCTAGTATGGGATCTCTTCAATTTCTTTATGAAGGCACTTAGTGCTATAAACTTTCCTATTAACACTGCTTTTTTATGCCCCATAAGTTTGTGCATGTTGTGCATTCACTTTCATCGAATTCTAGGAAGTTTTTAAATGATATCTTTATTTCTCCATTGATGCATTAGTTGTTCCATTTTCAGGAGGTGTAGACTTTCTATTGTTTCTGTTCTTGTTGACATCCAGTTTTAATCTGTGGTGACCTCATAGGATGAGGTTAGTTCAATTTTCTTATATCTGTTTAGACTTGTTTTATGCTATGTGGTCAATTTGGTGAATGTTCTATGAAGTACTGAGAATAAGGTATATGCTTTTGTATTTGGATAAAATGTTCAATGGTATTTGTTAGGTCCTTTTGATTTATAACATCTATTAGCTCCGTTATTTCTCTGTTTACATTTCATCTGGATGGCCTGTCCATTGGTGGGAGTTGGGTATTGGAGTCTCCCACTGTTAGTGTATGAGGAGCTTTAGTACAATGTGTGATTGCAGCGTTAGTAATGAACCTTTTTAAAATGTGAGTACCCTTGCATTTGGAGCATAGATGTTAAAAAGTGAAATGTGATCTTGGTGAACTTTTTCTTTGATGAGAATGAAATGTTTTCCCTCTCTTTTGATTAATTTTGGTTTGAAGTCCATTTTGTTAGATATTAGAGTAGCTACACAAGCTTGTTTTTCAAGTTCATTTACTTAGAAAATCTTTTTCCAACCCTTTATTCTGAGGTGATATCTGTCTTTGATATTGAGATATGTTTCTTGTATGCAGCAGAAAGATGGATATTGGTTTTAATCCATTCTGTTATTCTGTGTCTTTTTATTGGGGAATTGAGTCCAATGATATTGAAAGATATTAATGACCAATGATTGTTAATTTCTGTTATTTTGTTATTGGTGGTAGTGGTAGTGTTTCTCTCTCTCTCTCTCTCTCTCTCTCTCTCTCTCTCTCTCTCTGTGTGTGTGTGTGTGTGTGTGTGTGTGTGTGTGTGTGTGTCTTCTTTGAGATTTGCTGTAGTGAGATTATGCATTGCCTGTTTTTGTTGGTGTGGTTAAGCTTCTTGCATTGGAGCTTCCTTTCTAGTACCTTCTGTAGGGCTGAATTTATGGATAGATATTTCACATTTGACTTTGTTATGAAATATCTTGTTTTCTCCATCTATGGTGATTGACAGTGTTGTTGGGTATAGTAGTCTGGGCTGGTATCTGTAGTCTCTTAGAATCTTCAGGTCATCAGTCCAGGCCCATCTTGATTTTAGAGCATCCATTGAAGAGTTAGGTGTGATTCTAATAGGTCTGCCTTTATGCTACATAGCCCTTGGCACTTTCAATATTCTTTCCTTGTTCTGTATGTTTAGTGGTTTGATTAGGGATTTTCTTTCTAATCCAATATATTTAGAGTTCTGTAAGCTTCTTGTACCCTTATAGCATGCCTTTCTTTAGGTTGGAGAAATTTTCTTTCTTGATTTTGTTAAAATTTTTCTCTAGGTTTTTGAGCTGGGATTCTTGTCCTTCTTCTATTCCAATTATTTATAGGTTTGGTCTGTTCATAGGGTCCTGAATTTTCTGTTAGGTTTTTTTTTTCTTTTGAGACAGGGTTTCTCTGTGTAGCTTTGCAGCTTGTCCTTGAATTGGCTTTGTAGACCAGGATCGACTTAAACTCATAGAGATCTACCTGTCTCTGTCTTGTGAGCACTGGGACTAAAAGCATGTGCCACCATCACTTGGCCAGAAAATTTTTTAATTTAAAAATATTTACTTTTCATTTTACATACCCACCCCAGTTCCCCCCCTCCCCTTCTCTCATCCTCCATCTCCCTGCCTTTCCACCCCTATCTACTCCTCAAAGGGGATAAGGATTTCCTTGGGTACTCAACAAAGGCTGGCACACCAAGCTGAGACAGGACCAAGTCCCTCCCTGCTATATCAAGGTTGAGCAAAGTATCCTACCATAAGGAATGGGCTCCAAAAAATCAGTTCATGCATGTGGGATAGGTCCTTCAACACCTGTGCTAATCTGTGTTTTTAAATACAGTTGTACTTTCTGTATTTCTATGAAATTGAGCACCTCAGAGTTTGGTATATATATATTTGAGATAGTAATGACTTCTTGCTTAAGTATTCCCTTGATGAGAAAGAAGAGCTACTCTTTATCACTTCTGATTGATTTCAATTTGAAGTCTATTTTTCTTAAGATAACAATGCCTGCCTGCTTGTGTCTTGGTCCCATTTGATTTTTGTTTGTTTGTTTGTTTTGCTTTTTTTATACATCCTTTTACTCTAAGGTGGTACCTATCTTTGAAAGTGAGATGTGTTTCTTGTAGAAAACAAATAAAGGGACATTGTTCCTTTATCCAATCAATTCCCTCATGTCTTTTTATTGAAAAAATTAAGTCACTAATATTTAAAGTTATTATTAAAATGCTTATGTTAAATTGTGGCCAACACATTGTTGATTTTTGAAGTTGTTTGTGTTTTCAGTAGGACTTTGTATTTGTATAATTATATTTGTATAATTTGTATAATTTTCCCCACAGTTTCTCTACTATGTTCATTCTTTTTTTCAATCTGAAGTGTTCCTGTACTTTCTTTAGGTTTGGTTTGTTGGATATGATTTTTAAAATTTATTTATTTCACATCCTGACCACAGTTTCCCCTCCCCATCTTCTCCCCTTTGCCCCCCTTCCAATCCTCCTTCTCTGTTTCTGTTCAGAAAAGGGCAGACCTCCCATGTATATCAGTAAAACATGGCATATCAAGTTGTGCTAAGATTAAGCACTTCTTGTGTTAAGGCTGGTCAAGGCAACCCAATATGAACAAGAGGATCCCAAAAGTCAGTAAAAAGATAGAAACAGCCCTGTTCCCACTGTTAACAGTCCCATGAGAATACTAAGCTTTAAAACTGTCACATATATGCAGAGGGCCTATGTCAGCCCCTTGCAGGCTCCCTGGTTGTTGGTTCAGACTTTGTGAGCTCCTATGAGCCAAGGTTAGTTAATTCTGTGGTATATGATTCTTTTAGGCTATGACTAT